AAGCCGGTTTTTTAAATTCTGGATTAAGGCTTTTCAAGAATTAATATACTGATCAGTATAAGTAAATTAGAAATTCTGGTGATTTTCCACTTTTTAGATTTTTCCAAGTCCTTGTAGATAAAAATTTTTCTTCTGGAAATCTAATATTTTTTCAAGAATTTCTTAGAGCATTCAATCGAATTCGCTATCAGATAATATTTCGTATCTATTCCATCATACAATATTAGGATTCAATTATGATTGCAATAAAAAAATTGTAACTAAGTTAAGGTAACAAAAGATCTAAAGCAAATAGTCCATTAGCCTCCATTTTTAAAACCTAATTGTCAAAACTTCTCAAACAATACACATGTTTTTCACATGCAAAAATCTTAAATGCTTTATGTCCAAAAACATCTTAAACGTCTTATGTCCTAATTTTGAACTGTGTTGTTTAGGTTTTTGTTTTTCAAATTTATGGGGTACTCTAAAACCTTTTGGGCAAGGGTCAGAAACTCTCTCAGAATCAAAGTTCTCTGAAAATGATCTGCCAACTTCGCACAGAGATCATCCAATTTTATCCGCAACTAACGAAAGAAGCGCAGCGAGAATGAGGCGAAGAATGAGAAACGGTGGGCAGGAAACGGCACGACAGAACGATGCCAGCTTACGATAATTATACGTCGACGGGACAACTCCACCCGTATACGGCCGTGATTCGAACCATTCCCGGAGCCGCCGACCCGGTCTGCCTCGCGGCTCAACTCAACTCGAGTCGACTTGGTGCGGCTCCACCGTGACGGATGAATCATTGTCTGTATTAAGTCCTGACATACGCGCGGTGCATACCGCCGAACGAAAGCAGTCTCGGGTCTCTCTATGTCATGATTTTCTCTCACTTAAGTATAATTGATGGGTTAATTGAATATTTATGCCTGGACATAGATGCATGGCACAAACAGCTTCACCCAGATTTACTGACGAAAATATATATATATATATATACATACGAAGATATCTCCTTCATGTGATTAATTCTTTATTTACTTGAGTGTCCAGGACATCCTCAGTTTTATAAATTTGCTCTAAATATATAAATACTATTTATATACATTATTATATTTAGTACAAATTATTTCATAATTCAAAAAATTTTTTTGCGTTTATCTTTATCTAAAGAATATATAAAATATTATCAATATTATCAAAAAAATATTATCGAATAAATATTATTAGAATATTATTAGAATTATCAATCTTTATTTAATTGTAAATCATCAAAGAGGACGAAAATTGAGATATATAGCCTTGACCAAAAATATTAAACATCTAAACTTTTTTCATTTATCTGGAATTCTTTTGCCAGCATTATATATAGGTTAAGAGGATTTTTGAGACAGAGAATAATTTATAGCAAAAGCTATCCATAAATCAATTTTTGAGCTGAAACTTTAAATAATGATTGAAGTACTTAATATTTTTGGTCAAGGATGTAATGTTGGACTGTTAGAAACATTCTATGCGAACAATCACATTAAAGAAACTACAGGATTAAGTGAGATCATTTTAATTAATATTAAGTCTCACGACTTAAAAATTTGGAAGACTTTGAGACTTGAGAATTCAATTACGATTTTTCTTTTACCAGTCGTAATGGAAAATACCAAGAAGAAGCAATAATTACACATCTCATACGGATAATCTGATATCGTATAATCTCGCTTATATAAACGAGCAATTTAAAGTAATTATCCATTTATTAATTATCAGAAGAATTCATTCGACAAAGTATTTACCGTTAAGTTATTATTTAATCTAATCAATAAACTTGCAACGTGGCAAATGATTGTCTATATAACGGTGGTGTCTTTCTCTATCAATTTTATCTACCATGATCAATCTAGAAAACACTTAGCAAGAACTTTACATTTAACAATGATTCATAAGTATAGCTGACACGGTACAAAATTACGAGATAATAAGATACTTCATACATATTTTATCACCACGTGAGAAAATGATCTATCTCGGTGCATCGCCGAAAGCGCGAATGTTCACGGGTTAATGTTTCTCAGCATTGTTCGCGGTATGCAAATATTCACTGCAAAATCCTGACTGCATGGCTTGTCAAATGTAAGTGTGCAGTTCCCTTATGGCAGAGAATTTCCAACACATGGCATAGCTCGCGGTTACTCACGCTTGCGAAGACGTGCAACGGACGGACAGGCGGGCGGTCCCTTATCGAGAAACGTTTGACCGCGTTCTTATCCCGGACATACAACGCAGCATCCACGACATGCCAAGAATCGAAGCTCATCGGTATTTTTGCTATCTACAATCGGTATCTGACTTTCGCCATTTAACGATAATCGTTATCAATTAACGACGTAACTCGAGGTATCTCTTACTTCGTGAGACTCAAGACGGAAAAACAAATCCGTGTTTACGTCAAATTTTTTTCTGTACGACGCAATAAAATACGTCAGTGTAGAAATCTTCAAGTAATACGAACCTTTCGTGATCAATAGTATTAATCAGTGATATGAAATCAATAATATTGATAATACACATCAATACTTTTACAATCTTACGTGATCAATATTATTGACAATAATTCAGTTCAGTTTTATGAATTATATATATACATAATTATATATGCAATTCATAAAGCTGAGCTAAAATATTGTCAATTGTTGATTAGAAATGAACCAGAAGATTTCATCATATCAGAACTCTGGTTATCTCGACTAGAATTATAATAGATTAAATAAAAAAATTCTGATTTATTCATTTTCAACTAGAATGGTAATTGTGCAACCAGATTAGTTGCACAATTCATTGATTAAACTTCCTCAATATGACAAAGACAAATGATGTTCATAAGTGTTGTAGAACGTGAGTCGGACGAGACTCTAGTATTACTCTCATTGTATAGATGGTCAATTACTTAAAGATTTTTACGCCAGTGATCGTTTTGGGACTCAAAGACGATTCTGTCTCGTGTCATCAATGATCGTTCGCTCGCGACTTTTCCTCGATTGTGTCGCCCACATATCGCGGTTCAGGCCCCGCTACCTTCTATAGTAGTACAGTCCTCACATACGAGCGACAAGGTACTTTCGACCCACGTGCGTGCCACATACGCAACACGGGGGCCGCGATATCGGGACCGTCGTTGCGCAACAAGAGTTTGCTTATTTTTACGTGGCGATTTGCGCGCACGCAAAACACCTACTTGTACGGTGTTAAAAGCGGGGAGCGTGAGAAGGCGCGACGATCCTTTCGAAAGTTTGGAGGGGGACAAAACAAGGCCCCATGGCATTTCACGGAACCCGTGCTTCGTCCTCTATTGCGTATTTGCGACGTAAACCTCGATTGCCGCGCTACTAACGCGTTTCCTACTTCCAGCGATTTAACGCTTTTGCGGTGCACCGCTATTGTTTACGATCGTCTCGACTCAACAGTTCGCTGGCGTTATGCTGTTCTCTTTCGCACAATTTTGAGATTAGATTTATGTGCTTCGCGGAGTATTGAACAACGTATAAATTTGTCTTCTTCAATCGAGTAAAAATAATCTGAACAGAGATAAATTTTCTCTCATACTGTGCCTCCTTGCACAGATCACGCGAATCGTAAATCCTTCGACATTGGATGATTTACTGCTTTGTGCATGAAATGACAATACGCCTTTGTAATTTCGTCACGATAACATGGACATAAAACGAGGAGCTCGCAAATGGATAAAATACACAACTATTATGCATCATCTCAAACTTGAGACTTGTTTACTGAAAGAATAGACATGAAGTTAAAACGATAAGATCAAAGTAAAAAACCGCACTTAATAATCCTCAAATCCTAGGCACACATTCTATAACTATAGACTTTATTTCAAATTATTTTGCATGTGATGATAGAAAAGGACAAAAATAATGCCAAGAAGTTCTTGTTAAATCTTGTGTCCACGATACTAGAACTTGATCCGAGTTCTCGAATCGAGAAATGTATAGCTAGTTTTTCTGTAAAAATTGTAAGCTGATTGGCTATACATTTCATGATCCGAGAACTCGGATCGAGTTCTAACATTGTGGATACAAGACTTTAATGGCTGCATACAGCAGAGAAAACTGATCAGTGAACGTTCAGATTTTTTAATATGATTAGGTCTTGCCTAATTCTTCGCTGGATCTAATTGTAAGTGTAGGAACCAATCATATTAAAGAATTATTAAGTATTCACTGATGAGTTTTTCTCTGTTAAATGCAACCAATGCCTACGTATGAACACGTATACGTACTGTAAATTCCATGTGATCTGAGTCACTATCATATGATTGTGTATGTTATATTACTGTGTATTGTTATATTATTTATATATATAACCTTGGCCAAAAAATATTAGGCATTTTATTAATCATTATTTAAAGTTTCAGGTCGAAAATTGATTTATGGCATTTGTTGTAAATTATTTATTGTTTCAAAACCTTTTAAATGTATAAAGCAGTTAACCAATAGGTAACAATGCAGATAAATTTCAGATAAATGAAAAAATATATGTAGTCTAATATTTTTGCCTAATATTTTTGGTTAAGGCTGTATGTGAAGTGGATATAAAATGGAAGCCTCTCGAGGATATTGTTTGATATCAAACATGATGGCGAAGTAATCAGTTTAATAGAAGTCTATAAGCCTAGGACGTCATATAATTCTATTGTAATCCGAGCCTTTAGTCGTTATATTATATAGAGTATCTCAAAATATATTTTCTCTTGAATATTAAAAAAGAAATACGATGACTTGAATCATCCTCTACTGAGAAAAGATGTATTTTTTGTTTTAAAATTCTTCCTACAAATAAAATATTAAATTTTTTAATTCACCACAAATTTATTCACATTTCTCCAATAGAGGATGCCTTGCATCAGTGCCACCGAACTAATTAAGATGACGTGACGTGATGACGAACGAGAAAACGCCGCAGGACAATATAAACTAACGCGAGAATTCGAGAAGTAGTCTCACCTTTTTCAAATGCTTGTTCACCCACTTCGTGAAGGTCTTCTTCTGTATAGCATCTCGTTCGTCTGTGAACACACAAAAAGAGCAGAAATGTTAGAAACGTGAAATTTCTTTCAGCGATAACTGCAATGTTCGTAATAATGCATTATAATGCACCTGTATTCGTAGTAGCTAAATATAAAGCATCCCCTCATAACATTAGCGTAATTGTAAACAATTTGTGTTATATTCCATTATCATAATTGCCACTACATTTATGCAACGAGCGTAGCCTTGCTCGATGTCACGCTGCACAAACGTAGCACGTGTACTATATAAGCAGTACTCAGTATAGTACGGTACATGTCGCCGCGACTATTGTCATCACAGCAACGATATAGACTACCGTGACAATTGAATTTCGCAATTCGTCGCACTGATATAGGTGTAGTTGTTACATTACTATACCGCGACGATGTAACGTTATGCATACGATTCTAGCGTGACAGCGAGAGCGTCATGACGCAACGCCGCCTGGAAATGAGCCTTTAAGGATGGTCGAGGTCAGTATAACGAAACCAAAGTCGCAAGCAACCGGAGCAGGTCAAGTTGGATGAGGTCAAACAGGTAGACAGGTAGATAGGTAGGCGCGAGCGAGCGAGCGAACGGAAGGTCGGCCGGCTTGGCAAGCTGCTCGATACATCGGTTGGCATGCGAAGCACAAAAATACGGACAATGGACCGCATGAATAAAATCCAAGCCCACCTTGTGCGATACAGAATCCGTAATACGAGATAGAATTGAAGAATTATATTGATTCACAAATAAAATTATATAAATAAGATTTAATTTACGCGGAAACAACGATTTTGCTGAAATATCTATGTATATTAAGAAAAATTTCTGATTGAAAATGGACAAATCAGAAAATTCTGATTTGTCCATTTTTAACTGAAGCAATGCAATCAGACTCTTTTTTTCAGTGTAACACAATTTAGTTAGATATAAAGGTAATTTTGTTAAACCATAAAAATAATTATGTAGAAAATTAAAGCACGATGATCAATGCTGCAAACAGTTTTAACAACAAGCTTAAGCCTACATAGCTATTTTGATTGAGTCTAACAAAATTATTTTCAGACCTGTATCTAACTAAAATATTAGATATTTCATATAAATAGTTCTTTCCATGTACTAAATATCTCATATTAATCGGATATTGTGAAATATGCATCTCGAGCCGTCATGAAATTATCATTCGAGGTCTTCCGTTTTGTCATCGACGTGACGCAATAGCCGAGACCGCAAGGACGCCAACGTCAAGTCCGGGGTTTCTTATAAATTAAATGATATATTTTTGTAGCGTATTGCGGTTATTAAAACATGGATGAGTAATTTTAAATGACATCCCAAGTCATGAGACTTAATGATTCATATTCGGTGATTGAGATGTCGAAACGTATATAAATTAACTATTGACTGTAGGTAATAATAGATGTGCACTACATACATCTGAGCAATTAGACCAGAGTTTTTCAATCAATGTGCCGCAAAGGATCTTCAAGTGTACAAAAATTTTAGAGAAAATAAAAAGACAAAAAATTTAGAAAATAATTAAGAAGCGAGTAAGGCACAAAATAAAAAATATTTTTTTAATTGTGAAAATTATCTAAATATCTTATATCTTACTTTCATTTTTCAAAGCGATATTGTAATAACATCACTTTTTAGGATGTCTGATGAAATCTTATATAAAAATTTATATATAAAAGTCTTACATAAAAACTTTTAAAATAATAAAATAAAAAATAAATGCTTATTTATAAGAACTTCTTGAAAAAGATTGAAAAACAAACTAGAGCATCTGATTCTGTGCATCATTCTGTGGCAAATCGACGAGCATAAAAAGTAGAGCATACGTCATATTAATAAGACATTAATGCAAAAATCGAAGACTATAATCGCGAAGAATTAGCGTAGAGTTTATCGATACTTATTAATTTACCATCAACTAAAGTTATGATTTACAACGCATACTTGACACCTCATCATCGTATCCCACGAAAAGTTAACGCCACTCGAGTGGCGGTATTATCAAACAGTACATTTAAAAGGTCGACAAGCCGACAGGAAGTGTCAGCCAAACACTACCAGACGATACAAAATAAAAAGTAAAAAAAAAAGAGATATTCTCTTGGGAGCACTTCTCTAGATTTAGAAATATCTCGAGTGGACTGCCCTGTGAACGATCATATTTTCCGAGTGCGTCTGTCGCTCTCGTGAGAGAAATTGCTATCAAATATTTTAATGAACGCGCATAACGCGTTCAACGACTCCTACATGATATGCGTCGCAGAAATGATAGCATAAAAGAAAATGCAATATATTGTCCACTTATAAGATATACATACCAAGCCAAAAAACTTTTTAAAAATTAATATGTTTTGGGATTACGTAATATTCTTCAGATAATTATTATTGGATATAATTGTTATCAGATCTAAAAAATTATTGTTTTTCAAAAAATATTATTATAGATATTTGAGTAATCAAAAATGTTAATTTATTTAATAATTTTCAATCTTTGGAAAATATTTATAACAATGTGCTTTTTAATGATAATTCTTCAAATCGGATGACTGTTTTATCAGATTTAAAGAATTAATATATTAAAAAGATACATATGAAGATCGATACTGTATCTTGAAACGAGATGAAAATTACAAAAATGAGCAAATTTACTAGGTGTTGATCAATGAAATTATCAGTATTCTATAGTAAATTCGTTTATTTTTGTAATTTTCATCTCGTTTCAAGATACAGAATCAATCCCATGGATAGTAAAACAAATAATTCGAAAAATATTAATTTTTTAAAAATGTTTCCGAGCTTCTGGACTGAAATGTATATTTAGCAAAACATAAAACAAAATGTGTACAATCAATATTAAATGTACAGGATGACATAATGCACATGCATTAGTTGCATTGTGTAAAGTGCATGTTAATTTTGAAGAATTTTTTTCAGAACGGTAAAGATCTCGCGTGACAAGACATGTCGGAAACTTTACTTAGTATAAATCCGCGGAAAGTTCATTAATGTCTTATACTCACGCACGTGCGCGTGGCTTAACAAACTTTGCAGCTTACGCGAAATCAAACATTCCATTCTACTCTGCGAACCGAGCATTTGTTCTTCATAGATTATCTCGCCTCGTTGTTGGGTCCAACTTTGGCCCAGTTTTAACACCTTGTTAACAATTCTAAACTGCATTCGAGTAATGCTTAGGCGCAGCAATTAACGCGGCAATTAATATGCAAAGAGCCCCGTATTTGACGACTTTCAATGACAAATTTTCTTGTGAATTAAAAGTCGACCTTCCTTTAAATAAAAATTTAGGTAAAAGAGCTTTCTTAATAAATCATTTAGAAGAAAAACTTAGGACGTAAATACTTTGCTATTTACTTGTTAATTGTAATGTATATTATATTTTTATTATCTTTCCTGAAAAGAGGAAACAATTATATGTATATAGTATATATTAATCAAGGAAAATAGAGAAATCTTCGATCTCCATTTATATATACTATTATTTCTATGATAATCAGTTTATATTTCGCTGTACACTACAGTTACATAATCTCTTAACGTTTAATTGACATAGTTGAAGACAGGCTTGACTGAGAGATGATTTAATCTGTTACATAGAACAACTTCCAATGTATAATCAATCAGTTAAATCAGTCATAATAGTAAGAGTAAATAATGATCTTTTCAGTAGATAGAATAAAATCTCGACAGAAACATTTCTTAATCGTGACTGTCTGAAATAGAAAATATCATACGAAGCTGCAAATCACATACAAAACACAAGAAAAGGTGTCAGTTTCTCAACGTTCACAGCCAACATCTTATAAACGTCAGGGAAGAGTCAGAATCTAAACTTGTGAAGGCCGTCTTTCGATGTCTAATCGTTGCCACAACGACCTATTATCGATCACGAGCTAACGTAATTTCGGAGAATTCAATTCCCAATGCCATAACTATAGAGATAGCTTTGCGTGAATTGTCAGTCGTTAATTGGTATGGCCTTAATCGCTCGTCTTCGCTAATCTATGCCAATGGACAATCAATTTCATGATCAAATCCAAAAAAACTTCGATGAAAAATTATGATACGTGGTGATAAATTGTAGGCTATCCAATTAAAATTATTCCAAAAATAGATGACGAATACGTTTCCTAAATATTCTACAATAAATTAATTGCTATATGATTTATAATTTAATTATACTCATACATATTTTAATTACATAATTACAAATTCTGATACAACATGCTTTACTTCTTCTCAAAAATATATATAATATCATTGCCAGTAAAATAAATTAATTAGTATATTTTATCCCTTTCAAATATTTCAATATAAAGCGCATCGGTAGAAGAGAGGCAAAAACTAATCTTGAAGAAATGCATATATATATATATATATTGACGCACGCTTTCTTCAGTAAATTTTTGTTATTAGCAGATACGAATGCTGGAATGTGGAAGCTCTGAGAACAGTAACTAACAGGGGCTAAAGATAAACGTCAATGAATGTATTCATCGATATTTATTCTTTTCGGAAGTTCTTGGCTGTAATTTAAGCGATACCCTTTCGGCATTTAGGATGGTGTTAGACAACATTATCCAGTTATCAAACTTTTGACAAATCAAGGAATAGTAGATCAGAATTTTTTGTGATAAATTTTACTGTTTTATTGAGTACATTTATTACATGATATATTCTGACATTGACATGTACAGTATTTATAATAAAAATTCAAGTAAAAATTTTATCGTAGGCTTAATAAATCTTTCATTTAACGCAGTAAAATTTAGAACTTTGTGTCTTAACTCCTTTTTTTATAAGGAATCTTACAGTTCTTTATAAAAATAAAAATGAGTTCCATATTTTTTACACTAGAAACCAAAATTATCACGCCATATTTTCAATTTTGATTTTTTAGTATAAAAAAATGTGGAATTTTTTCTATTTTTAGAAACTGTAGAACTATGAAAAGAACTACTGGAGCTAGCTTAATTTTTGTTTATATTAAGAGAATGTCGTACTAACTTTATCGATCCAAGTTTTAGTTATCTTTGCCAGTCATTACTCCATTTTGTATTACAGAAGCTACGAGAGAGAATGGCTCTCATCGTGATTGACATCTTCGGCTGATGTATCTCATGTTCTTCATTCATGAGCAACGACGCGAGCGTATTTTAACATTTCCGTTATTAATCACCGCACCTTTTTTTTAAGCTCGTGTAAGAAAAGATTGTAACGCGCGGACGAGAGACTCTCGATTTCATAATGCGCGTCCTTCGCTCCATCAGCTCCGTCAAAAGAATCCTGAGGAGACAAGGCGCGGGATACGATACGAAAGCAACAATATCGATAACAACGACGTAACGGCCACATCACGGGTGGAATTACTCTTCGCCGGACGCGATGTCGGTAATTACGATTAAATTAGTGATCAATCACGGCGAACGACACGATGCTGACGTCATTTGTACAAGCCTTCCTTCGGTCGTTTACTTTTGCGCTAAGTGAAAAACAGCTAACTGGGCGTATACGAGTCGCAATGCGCAATCCGAGTAGGCAGAAATTATGAAAAGTGACGGCCATTGTTTATTGTTTGTCTACTTGGCATAATTGTAAAATGGTGGGCCGCGGACAATTCCGCGTGTGTGGAACACCGGATCCGCGTGACTTCACGAATGCGACGCGTCAAATTCTGAAATTTTTCTCCGGATTCTCCGGGGGTGGACGGAGGTTGACAGACATTAGTCCTAAGCCGTCTAAAGCCGTAATCACACTAAGATCGTTGATTGAATTACGAGTGTGATTGGCGATTATTTTTCAACCAATCAGAGCAAAGTAGTCACCGATTGCTACGTTCTAATTGAGAAGTAATCGCCAACCACAATCGCAATCGACAATCGGTTGTGTAATTAAATAACAGCTTTATGCCCGTTTCCACCAATGTATACTCTCTAAAACATTGAGTATATTAAACGCAAACAAAAAGTCGCTCTTACTAATATGACAGTAATAATAAAATAATGTATTTTTAAATAGATATTCGTATTATTTTGTTTATCCTCTATAAATTAACTTTAAATTCGATTCAACTTACTCTTCATCATTCTTTAATTTTTGGAACTAGAAAAAGATGAAGAGTAAATTGAATCGAGATTAATATACATGAAAATGGATACAAACAGACAAAGGATAAAAGATAATCGTTATTTTTAGTTATCTGTCTATTTATTTCATGTATACAGACGGATAAATTTGGGTATTCCACACGTAGACTACACTCGACTGCTATAAAAAGGTGAGGCGAGGAAAGCGACATTCATAGCTCAAACATTTATCAAACAAACGTCGCGAGCGTAACTCAAACCTTTTAGACGCGTATCGCGCGTGTTACAAGCGCGGTTGGTGGAACAAATTTAATCGCCAAGTTAGTAAAGCAATATCATCACACTGTGTGTGAGTAAATTTACAATTTGCAAACTACAGGCAAACGCATTGCATATTTGAAACGATTGGAAATATTTGTGCAATTTTTATGTATAGACACGGTTAATCTACAATATAATTATTATAAAACAAATGAATATTAATTTTACAAATAATGTCAGTTTCATGGAAATAATGCTGTACATTTAGGAATTTGATTTATTATATTGTAAATTAACGTATGTTACGTTTTCTATTCCGAAGGTATCATGAATATTCACTTCAATAGCCAACTTCGAATTGTAATCGTTTTATAGGAACCGTTCCATAATTATAGCTGTTTTTTTGAAGTATCCCCCGCTCTTAAATCGGGTAGGAATGTCGAAATTAGCATGTTGCGAAGGTTATTACGTGCTTGGAATAAAAATTCCAACGATTTAATCCCAAAGACGTTAATTTCGCGCAAGGAGAATGTCTCTCTCGTTTCGAATTTATATAAAATCGGTGATCAGATAAATAGCAAATTGTTTGCTTTACTTATTAAAAAAGACAAAAAGAGTGTATAAGGATAAAAATTCCAGGATACAACAAAAACCACAAAAGGACAAAAAGGGAAAAATAAAAAACAACTGAGCTTTCACGAAAAATCTCCCAGCATCCACATGCCAACTCTCTACGTCTCTCTCTTCACCTACCGTGCGCCTCAATGAACATCGCCCAGCAGCCCCAGAAAGCCTGGGTGCTGCCAGCACGATGTTCCCCGATTTCGCCATTGCATCCCGGATCCTCCTCCGGGAATCCGTTCGCATTCTGACCTTTGAATTTGGAGAGTGACTCCTCGTAACCATGCTGTGAGCGTTGCTCGCGTTGATGCTCGGCGACGGTGTCCGCCGGATCGAAGCCGAGCCGCTCCTTATAGTAAGCCTGGGTCGACATCCTGTCCTTCTCCGGGCCCCGGGCCGTCCCAGCGAAGTAGAGGGTGCAAGTTTCAACGTTCATGCCCGGCTCACGCGCGAACTATCATGACACACTTCACGACACGAGAACGCGGAACCGGCACCGTTCTCTACCGCCCTGACAACAGCCGGCGGCAGGGCTCGATTAGCTCGCTTATTTCGCGTTTAAATCGCGTTCACTATTCGACGTTTGTGTTCGTAGAAATCTCGCGTTCTTTCGAGGTATATCTGGACACGCCTAGTTCGTTGGCTTCCAGTCGCGTGAATATATTCTTCTTACATTTTCGTAAATTTTTGTCTCTCAAAGTTCGCTCTCGAGTTGGAAGAGCTCTTGGCTTTTCAGCTCGTCGTTCGTTGAATAGTTTCGTGTTTCCTCCTCAATTTTACCGCCGTTATATTCGACAGCGCGGCGGAATGCACGACGCGCGAATCTCCGTGGTATCCACCGATTACTCGTCGTTGTTTATCACGACGTGCACCAGCTTCGGCTGGAACGCGATCGGTTTTCTCCCGTCGTTCGAGGAATCGGCCAAGGATTCCTTCACCTTCGGATTCCAATCTGCCGTGCGGCGTATGTAAATGAGACCGTGTTGCTTTATGTCGCCTCAACCTCTTATACGATATGGCACTTTGTGAATTCTCGAAAAACACCCGACTCGCCGTCGTGCTGCTGTCAGTGACAACACGAAGATGGAAAACCTGTGCAATGATAATGCGCAATGCGCGAATAAGATATTCGAACGTTAAAAAAAGAAGTTTAATAAAAATAATTTTATAAAAGTGAAACGTGACTGGAGAGAACCTCGATAATTTTAGAACTAACAATTGTATTTTTCAAAAATCATATTATAACTAAATACATAACTCGCTATGGAAATTTATATTTAATTTTTTTGACCTAAAAAAATGTATTCCTTAGGACTCATTAAAGTTTTTGCTATTAGTTTTATATTTTCTAAAAATTCTTCAAGTTTAGAAACTGTGAAAAATAAGATGAAATATGAAAAATAAGATGAAATGACATAAAATTGTCCAAATCATTACTATTTAAAAATTAAGAAAAACTTTTGAGTCAAACACACCAGGATTTATATATGTTTCAGTTACAGGTCATATAACAACGCGGCTAAATTCATTATTTTACACGAAAGAAATTCTGCAAATTGCACTAGCCATCGAATCGCAAACGATCGAGGGAATTGTAAAAAAAGCAGGAAACAAAGAGTAATGAGATCAGAATAAAAAAAATTGATCGATATATCCGCATTAGATTCTATAGAAATCAACAGCCTTGATGCAAGCCTAGTAAGGAACTTGGAAACTCGATCACGATTACGCCCGGCCATCAGGTACATACTATTAACCCACGCATATCCATCAAATTTGTAATCGATCATCCACCATATTAAGCTAACGACTAGGATAGGGTAACAGCACAACCGCAACAACGATAATAAAATATGATTAAATATAATTAGCGTACGATTTATCTAACCGAATATTCGGAATCTCTTTTGTCTGAAAATTTATAGATCTTAATAGCAAATAACTTGTATATTTTTATACAGATAAATAAGAATAAATTACAGAATGTATAAACAAGGCTAATAATGTTGGATTTGATGGATAAGTTTTATGAGAACACTGCACTACATGCTTACTCGACCAACAAATTTTCTATTCAATTCCTTCACTTGGCAAAATAAACTGAAACTGTTGGGTATAAACCGGCAGACAATTTTGCTTTCTTTTTTTTCTAATTCGTGACACTGTAATGCCTACGACACGCACCTATGGCGTAACTGGCGAGCTGTACGAAGGTGTCGAAGATCTCCGCCGTGAAAAACACCGAGAGAAAAGCGAAATCGGACGGATAGATGTACGAGCGGATTGATAGAGCGACCTTTTCAAACTGACGATTCGCGAGGCGCGTGGAGACTGAGCGCCGACACACACGCCTGGCATCGGCAGAACCTTAAGGCGACGATGGAAGCGCGCCTAACTGCGAGATCGAACTCCCCGCATATGGTAAACGGAGAATGGATACGTGGGTGCCCGTCATGTAGTCGGTGCGTATGTCAGAAAAGTCCGTCATGGACCAATTCACCGATGCGGCGGCGGGGACTGTCAGGAGATTATTGCACTACCGTTCAGACTCTCTCTCTCTCTCTCTCTCTCTCTCTCTCTCTCTCTCTCTCTCCTTTCTCCCTCCCCCTCTTTCTCTCACATCAGAAATCATTTGTATTATTTCATATTTTTGTCTCTTTACTTTAATTCTTCTGGTTTTTCTTTTTTCTATGATCTTATAGATCTCGCCTTTAGAGTTGCCACAAATTGCTTCTTCCTAGAGTTCCATAACTTTTCCAGACTAAGAATTTTAATTTCTCAGAAAATTTTTGCAAAACTTCCTGACTTTTCTCTGAACATTTTCAATTTCCCTAACTTTCCATGATTTCCCTGATTTTTACACGGAGAAAATTTTCTTTTAAAATTTACCCTGAAAATATATAATAGTTGTGTAATACAATATTTTAAAGATTTTTATCATGCACTTCAGTAAAATTGATTAAACTTATTTTATACTTTATTGTAGTTTGTTTTATTAATGAAGGAGAGAGATTCATATTAAAATTCTTCTCTCAAAATAAAATTTACAAAGAAAAAACTTTTTACTGAATTCTTTTCATGTTCTGACAGAGAGAAAGAGAAAGGGAGAGAGAATATTTATTAATATTCTCACGCACAATTCTAAGAAGAATATTAATAAATGCGAGAGAATATTAATAAACGTTCTCTCTCTCTCTCTCTCTCTCTCTCTCTCTCTCTCTCTCTCTCTCGAAATAAAATTAAAAAAAATTCAATATATAAAGAAAGGAAAACCAGAACTAAATGTCTAAGACGATAGGAATTGCGTGCGCGGAATACGAAAAGTGCGTCGTCGCAACGACGCAAGACGCGACGCGCATACACGATCGGATCGGTCTCGTCGCGCGCGCGATCGAATGCACTACGCACGTACGCGTCGTACGCACCCTGCACGCCGAAGCCGCTCGTCACTCTTGTGCCCGCACGAAATTAGAAACGGAAAGAAAACAAAGTGACGGCGGTCGCCACGCGACAAGCGGTTAGAGGAGGTCGATTCTGCAACGAGCCGATCGCCATTACACGCAAGAACCGATCCCCTCAATCCCATATATTTCTTCGGCGTTTTTAAATATAACTGCGAGAAAAACAAAATTTTAAACCTAGCTCTCGAAAAACCCAAATCGAAAACCTCGATCGACGCAACAGCAATTAGAGTTTTTTTCGTCGAGCGTGAATTAACAATTCCCGGCTGAATTCGCTGCTCGTTTTTGGATTCGATTTAAAATTTAACGGTATCCCTTTTGAATTCAATTGGAGCTAAACGCAAACCGAGGAGAATGCATCTTTCGCCGCTCGTTGACCCGTGAATGTGGCTTTAATTGATCCCATACCACATCGGGACGCGCCTAATGGACGGGGCTCTTGTTAATTCATTAAACGCCGAATGGCATATACGAGCGCGACGACGGTCTCGCACTTAATGTCGCCGGGTGCTGAATCATGCGTTCCGAGAAAACTTACTCTCTTGTATCCTCGAGAATATATATACGTGCGCCTTATATGAGCATAGTCCGCTTGCGGAGAGCGCGTCATATATCGCGAGAGTGTGAAGGTATGCCAAAAACGCGGATGCATCAAGTTCGGATCCATCAATAGCGGCATTATGACCGCTATTTGCCGCGCGAGAGAAACTGTCTGTGAAGGGTTGAGCATTAATATCTCCGATGCGTTAATGTCTAACATCGCGCGCAGACACATAACTACGGAGTATTAACCGACAAGTTAAATGACGGAGCGAAACTACGATATTACGAATGCCTGCCTCGCGCAATGCGCGCTATTACTTGCTTATATGCATACACGAATATCGCAATAGCTAGCTAGAAGAGCTAGAAGTGGCACGTCTGTGAGCGAAAGTTTTGCGATCACTAAGAAAAATATCTGCAGGTTGCATCAATTTGAATTCTGCACTCTAAAAAATATTCATGCGGATTTAACACCGTGAAGTATCTATATATTGTTAATGTTAATGTTAATGTTAATATTAACAATAACAATATAAAAAGATAAATATAATAGGCTAATGAGAATCAGCAACGATAAACGACGCAATTATTTAATGAACAATAAATTGTTCAACAAGCTTCAGTGCAATGCTTCATGTTCCATGATGATAGGTGTACAACTTTGCTTCCGCCGTTTTCCTATAGATGACTTTAGCGGTAAGTGGTGGTCGAAATAAATAGATCATAGACGTCATAACTTTATATACACTTTAATAAGATTTGTTGTTTAAAAAAATGTCAGATTAACAACGCTGCATCTTTGTCAATTTGAGTGACTTAAACATTATGGATATGTGAGCTAATTATATTTATATCATTCTTACTGAAGAGAACTTCAAAGAGAATCGAAACGTTCAAAATAAAGAAGACATTAATCTAACATCTGATTATTGATTGTTCACAAAATAATTGCGCCGTTTATCGTTGCTGACTCTCATTAGCCTGCTATATTTATCTTTTTATATTGTTTAAAATTCGAGAGTCCTAATATAATTATTGTTATTATTATTGTTAATATCAACATTATTCTGCAGTCTAAAAAAAAAATGCGGATTTATAATATCATGTGTTTTAAATCTACATCATGATGGTGCTGACATAAACAGACTAGAGGTTATAAATCTACAGCACACAATCCATGTTAATAGTGCTTTCCACTTTCGCATAAGTGATACTAAATCTAAAGTTATGTATTTTATACTTAGATAATGACGTCACTACTTGCTTATTTTAATGACAAAGTTATCGCATAACAGATTTATAGCTTCACTTTCAATGTGAATTAATAGATTACCAAAAAACCCAGTAAAGCACATGGCCTCGAGCTTGTGCAGATTGTAGGTAAAAATTAAATCTCACTTGTCAAAATGAAAAGAAACGTGCATTCAACAGAGTTATAACATCACAAATCAGAATTTGTTTTGACGAATATCTATTTTGATGTAAATAAAAAGTAATTCATATTAATATAATGAGAATTATATGGACACTACGCGTATTAAATTTACACCGATATTTTTTTAAAGAGTAGTTTGAAAATGGAAACAGAATTTTCTGATTAAATCTACTACAATTTTTATAATTGAGATAATCAGAATTCTGATTTATATCAGAATTTTCTCGAATATCTATTCCAGACATTTTTCCCAGAGTTCCTACACTGAAAGAAAAGATTGGTTATCGCAGCAAATTAGAATGGTTAAATATGGCATAGTATTTTAAATTGGTTGGTTGTTTTTGATTGCGTTAACCAATCGAAATTCTATACTGACATTGCGGGTAGACTAACACAACCAACAATTGGCTGCAGCAAACAAAAAAATCCAATTAAAAATGTTATGCCATATTTTATCTATCTATCTAATTTGCTGCAGCAGTCAATCTTTTCTTTCAATACAGTCTGTACAGTCAAAGAGGTGAAGTTAATGAAAAAATTACATTCAACGGAGGATTGATGAAAAAATCCGAGGGGGAAGTAGTATGTTCCCTCGCGTGAGACCAAGGAGGAATCAGTGAAGAAGAGGAAGGCACGCGCGCGCGCTCGTATCTCGAGCGGCATAACGCGGGCTACGCGGAGGCCGGCTCGGCGGCATTCTTGCGCCAAGTCGCATAACGGGTCCGCAGTCGATCTCGGCCCATTACTCCCAGGGGCCCAGGCGAGGTTACTCCCTCCGCGATTAACCTTGAAGGGGACTCGATGGCCCGCCAAGACTAATCGAGTCGCGCGTCTCCCGCGTGGATTACGAAAAAGTTACCAAGTTACCCACGCGTTTATCCGTACCTTCAATTCCATATCTTTTCTGCGTAATCGACATGTATGGATTTTCGTAGGACGTGGGTCGCTCGGCCGTGGTTACCCCTTGAAAGGGCGTCGGCTCGTACGATGAATTACATACGTAGTCACGTAATAGGTGAGGGACCACGAACGATTAAGGTAATGAGAAACCGAGGATATATCGATTTCAAAGGTAGGCAAAGTAGGCGTGATGATGACAGAACAAACACGTCGCTTCCTGAAGCGATGACTCCGATGTCTCAACATGACGAAGCGTGAATAAAAAAATTCCATCGTTATCATAAATACAAAGTGTATAAAAAATATTTTTTTCCCCATTATATTATAAATCAATTTAAATTTTATTTTAATCTAAAGATCTATCTAAAATCAGGATCAAATTGTAGCTTAGAATTGAAATTGGATTGATATATCGTATGTTCTAAATTTTAGAATATATCGGGGCTTTCCCTATGTTTACCAAAGTGAAGGTAGACAATAATAAATTTCACAAAAAAAAAATGTAATTAAAAGTAACAATGATAATCCAATCCCCTAAGTTAAACAATATTTAGTTCTTTTTTATTTTCTTGTATGTCAAAATATAAATTAATCCATTTTTGTTTAGTTTCAAAGTAAACATCAGCCAGATCATTAACGTATGTATTTAGTAAATAATAAACTAAATTTGAATCTAATTTAATGTTTTCTTGAGTTAATTGTTTAACTCCATTGTTTTAATCAAATTAACGACACCGGAGCAATGACAACCTGTAGAAACAACTAGAAATAACTAAAATTGGTTATAACTTGACATTATAAATTTGAACTGATAGAATGTCATATTTTAAATTTGAATTGAGATTGGATTGAAATTTAATAGAAAAAAAATTCAATTAGACGAAAAAAATCTGCAATATCAAATTTAATGGACCTCGTTGATTGGCTAAATTTCAAACAAAATTCAATCCGTTGTCTGATGGGCTTAAAGATTGATCTCAAAAAGAGAATACGGAACAATTGAAGGTGATACACCTTCGGTCGCGACCGACCCTTAAAAGGCTGTGCGAGCCGCGGAGTACGTGGGTTAGCACGAGATAACGAAAGATACGAAAGTGTTTGC